CTTGTCTGAGACCTTCCCTGTTTGTTTTTGGATTCTGCCAATCAGACTGGTACTGTCTCTCTCTCGAGTCTGGAGAATTCTTCAGGAAGTTGAGAGAGGTCCCGTGTCCTTAGCGTATGCTGAGGACTAGCTGTACCTGTGGGAGGAAAGTACGCAGGCGCAAACAGAGGCAAATGCAAGCGTGCGTGCGTGTGTGTGTATATGTGTGTGTGTGTGTAAGTGGGTGTGGGCGTGTGTCTCGAGGGACAGAGTGATGGCTAATGTTGAACCCTTGAGTGTGTGGGAGGGGCTCTGCAATGTATATGTCGCAGGCGCTAGTGATGATCGCAGCGCAATTTCTGGCATTAACTGCCTTAACTCCTCAATTAGACCCACAGAGCAGGAACTTCAATGTTCCAAGTGCCCCTCTGTTTCCCAAAGTGGGTATATGGGTGGGAGGGGGTTCGATGCCTGGCTTCTGTTTTAGCAGAACCCAGGATCAGTGGAGCTGCAGATTCTCAAGGGTGCACTCACTTACAGGCAGGACACTTGGCAGAGATTGGCTTATCTGGGCTCTCTGTTCTCTGGTTTGGCCCTGCTTCTTTGATGTGCTCCGCCAGTTCCGTGCTGCTGTCACTGCCAGGTTATGAGGTCTTGCTGCAGCTGGAGTTTTCAGGGTGGTCACGTCAGTGGGAATCGGGGTAATCAGCCTTTCTGTTCTCTGGTTTGGCCCTGGTTAGTCTTAAACTGGAGGGCTGATGTGCCCCGCCAGCTCAGTGCTGCTCCGCCGCCAGGTTAGAAAGTCCCGCTGTAACTGGAGACTGGGTTGCTAGTCCAGATGCTTTCTGGGAAGTCCTGGGGTCTCTTTACTGTGCTCTCCAAGCTTCGGAGGCCCAGCGCCTGGTGTGTCTAGCTTGTATGGCGTTTTTGTCTGGTTTTGGTGAGTATATAGCGTATTCTCTGTCACTGTGGGATTGGGCGGGCCGTACCGTCAGTGATGGCGCTCGTGCGGAGCTATTATGGCGTTTAGCAGACTCGGGCCCTGGGAGGATTGTGCAGCCGCCGCGAGTGAATCTGGGGCTCCGAGACACAGTACTGCTGGCCTTTGCCGATAAAGGGCTTGGGGCTCCGCCTCAGTGGCTGCAGGCCCCAGGCAGTTAGGTCTGCGCTGAGAAAGGCGAAAGGCGAGTCGGCTGTGCCTGTGCCGAGGAGGAGGGAGGTCTGGGGGAGGGGAGTGCCGAGAGATCAAAGGATCGTTTCTCACCTTCCCCAATCAAGTCCGTGGGTGACCCGAGACCAAGGTTTTCACCTCCTGCGATGTTCCCTGTTGTTTAGAAAGTCTCTCCGTTGTTTCCCTGGCTTCAGAAGTTCTTCCACACATCAGCTCAGAACTTTATCTCTTCCACAGCTCGGAAACTGTGTGTGCTAGTCGCCATCTTCAAATTTTTATTTTTATATTAATTACAGTTTATTCACTTTGTATCCAAACTGTAGCCCCTCCCTCAATCCCTCCCAATCCTACCCTCCCTTCCTCATCTCCTCCCATGCCCCTCTCCAAGTCCACTGATATGGGAGGTCCTCCTCCCCTTCCACTTAACTACAGCTTACCAGGTCTCACCAGGATTGTCTGCATTGTCCTCCTCTGTGGCCTGGCAAGGCTTTTCCCCCATCAGGGCAATGGTAGTCAAAGAGCCAGCCACAGAGTTTATGTCAGAGACAGTCCCTGTTCCCCTTACAAGGGAACCCTCTTTGATACTGAGCTGCCATGAGCTACATCTGAACAGGGGTTTCAAATTATATCCATGAATGGTCCTTGGTTGGAATATCTGTCTCAGAAAAGACCCCTGTGCCCAGATTTTTTGGTTCTGTTACTCTCCTTGTAGAGCTACTGTCCTCTTCAGTTCCCACTATCTCCCCCTTCTTTCATAGGATTCCCTGCACTCTGCCCAAAGTTTGGCTATGAGTCTCAGTATCTGCTTTGATACACTGCTGGATAGAGTCTTTCAGAGGCCCTCTCTGCTAGGCTCCTGTCCTGTTTCCTGTTTTCTCCTTCTTCCAATGTCCATTGAACCTGGGTCCTTTGGAAGAGAGCCAGTGCTCTTAGCCCCCACACACACCTTTTCTTTCTTTCTTTCTTTCTTTCTTTCTTTCTTTCTTCCTTTCTTTCTTTCTTTCTCTTTCTTTCTTTCTCTCTCTCTCTTTCTTTCTTCTGAGCTGGTTTCTGTCTGTGTGTAGCCCTGGCTGTTGTCTGTTATGTAATCACTTTTTTATCTTTTTTATTTTTATTTTTATTAATTGCACTTTATTCACTTAGTATCCCCCCATAAGTCCCTCCTCTCCTCTCCTCCCAATCCCACCCTCCCACCCCCTTCTTCACACATGCCCCTCCCCAAGTCCACTGATAGGGGAGGTCCTCCTTTCCTTCCTCTGGTCTTAGTCTATCAAATCTCATCAGGAATGGCTGCATTGTCATCTTCTGTGGCCTGGTAAGGCTGCTCCCCCCTCAGGGGGAGGTGATCAAAGAGCAGGCCAATCAGATTATGTCAGAGGCAGTCCCACTTCCCATTACTAGGTAACCCACTTGGACACTAAACTGCCATGGGCTACCTCTTCGCAGGGGTTCTAGGTTATCTCCATGCATGATACTTGTTTGGAGTATGGGTCTCTGGGACGACTCCTGTGTTCAAATTTCTGGTTCTGTTGCTCTCCTTGTGGAGTTTCTGTCCTCTCCAGATCTTGCTATTTCCCACTTCTTTCATAAGATTCCATGCACTCTGCCCAACCATTGGCCGTAAGTCTCAGCATCTGCTTTGATAGTCTGCAGGGCAGAGCCTTTCAGAGGCCCTCTGTGGCGGGTTTCTAGCTGGTTTCCTGTTTTCTTCTTCTTCTGATGTCCATCCTCTTTGCCTTTCAGGATGGGGATTGAGCATTTTAGTCAGGGTCCTCTCTCTTGATTGGTTTCTTTAGATGTACAGATTTTAGTAGGTTTATCTTATATTATATGTCTATATGAGTGGGTATATACCGTGTGTGTCTTTCTGCTTCTGGAACAGTTCACTCAGGATGATCCTTTCCAGGTCCCACCATTTACCTGCAAATTTCATGATTTCCTTATTTTTCATTGCTGAGTATATTCCATTGTGTAGATGTACCACAGTTTCTGCATTCATTCTTCAGTTGAGGGACATCTGGGCTGTTTCCAGCTTCTGACTATTACAAATAAAGCTGCTACAAACATGGTTGAGCAAATGTCCTTATTGTGTACTTGAGCCTCTTTTGGATATATGCCTAGGAGTTGTATGGCTGCATTTTGAGGAAGCGCTATTCCTAGTATATACACACATGGTATATACTCACTCATATAAACATACAACATAGAATAAACCCACTAAAATCTGTACATCTAAACAAACTAAGCAAAAGAGAGGACCCTAACTAAAATGTTCAATCCCCATCCTGAAAAGCAAAGAGGATGGACATCAGAAGAAAAAGAAAATAGGAAACAACCTCGGAACCTGCTACAGAGGGCCTCTGAAAGCCAGAAGAAAACAGGAAACAACCTTGAAACCTGCCACAGAGGGCCTCTGAAAGCCTCTGCAGTATAGACTGTCAAAGCAGATGCTGAGCCTGATGGCCAACTGATGGGCAGAATGAATGGAATTTTATGTAAGAAGTGGGAAATAGTAAGAGCTGGAGAGGACAATGCAGCCACTTTTGATGAGAACTGATAGACTAAGATCAGAAAAGAGAGGAGAACCTCCCCTATCAGTGGACTTGGGGAGTGGCATGCATGCAGAAAGGGGAGGGAGGGTGGGATCGGGAGGGGAGGAGGGAGGGGCTTATGGGGATACAAAATGAATAAAGTGTAATTAATAAAAAAAAAAACCACAGTCAGAAAACCATGGCACAGTTCAGTATCCAATATTCAACCTAGAGTAGAACCAACAGGTATGTAGGTAGGTAAGTAGGCAGATAGATTAGATAGATAGATAGATAGATAGATAGATAGATAGATAGATAGATAGATAGATAGATAGATAGATGATAGATAGATAATTAAAGACAGACAGAGTGCCTCTATATCATATCAAGACATGGAACTGTCACAGAAGAATGGGTGGAAAGATTATAAGAGTGTGAATAACTTCAAGCACAATGGGACATACATACTTACGAACTGACAACTATGACGACGTGCACAAGGTCTGTTGGTTACCTTCTTTCTGTTTCTCTCTCCATCTCTCTCTCTGTCTCTTTGTCTCTCTTTGTGTCTTTTTCTATCTCTTTGCCTCTCTCTCTCTCGTGCAAGCCCAAGCCAAATAAAATCTAGCATGGAACGGAGAGGTGGTCAAGAAGTCTCACACCTAGCTAGGGAGCTACTGGTGGCTGCTGGTGGTGGGGAGAGGAAGAAGTCAGTTTTCTGAAGGATTAAGTCCCTGAGAGGCACCTCCAGCAGGTGGTCCAAACCCCGGCACATGCTAGCAGCACTAAGTAAATGTGATGGATTTAAAAATGGGGGAGGGGAGATGATAGTGGTAGAAGGACAGGGGAGAAATTCAAAGAGGGAATGGGGGTGGACTTGATAAAAACACATTACACAGATGTACAAAATGTTTAAACAGTAAAAATAAATGAATGCACAATGCATACATACATAGTTACATACACACATGCATGTATACATTCACACACACATATATACATACACACACGTACACACATACATATATACACACACACATACACATACATAAATCAGCAACTTGAAATATGGTTCACTCCCTAATCTCAGGTCCCAAACTGGCATAAGACTCAACCTCATTGGCCATAAAGAAACTCAGGCATCATCATCAACCTGTAGAACTCAAATGATGACCACAAGAGACAACCGAGAGAGCTGGAGACTCAGGAGTCTGATCTGCCTAACCCAGAATGGAGCCCCTGAACGTTAGGCTCGCACCTCTTCAAAGGCACAGCACTGGTGCTTGCCACAGGATGGTAGGGGCACAAAAGTCTCCTACCTGATTACCCTCAAGAAGGGCATCTTCCACTTCCAGTTTGTTCAGGTCCAAACAGGAAGCTACAATTGCAAACAGGTAGTCATGCCTTCCATCCAAACGAGCCCTCTTGGCTTCCTTCTCCTCTTTCAGCCGTTGCTAAAAGAGAGGAATAAAAATTTATTTTGCAATTGCTGCTCTCAGATGGTTCACTTTATGACAATTTCACACAATTGTGGTTTTTGAGTCTTAGGGATCCGCATAACAGGCAGCTTAATGGTAGCAGTGTTTATGTACTCTCTTCTATTTTTAGAAATAAATTGACTTCTCTTATGAAAATAAGGTGTGCCCATTGTTTTGAAATGCAAACAACACAGACAAACAAAAAGAAGCCATATAAATCATCAGCCATCCATAAATTATTACTGTTAACCTTTTATTCTATCTTTCCAGACTTAGTTCCACATGCATAAAAGAATTTAATAGATGCATGCAAAAAAATGAAATTCCCATTTTTGTAAAAAAATTTTCAGCCACAAAGTAACATTCTTATCTCTTATCTTTGCTGTTTATAGGTTCATATCTGCTCTTGGAATTCATTTTGACTTCCACCACTGATGCTTTGTTCTGTTAGCTGTCAATTACAGTAATGAGAAATGCTCAGTATAACCAGGATTTGCAGCTTAATGACCACCCTACCATACTCTTTGCCCACACGAAATATTCAAACATGTGCATGTGCCAATGTTTATATTGACATAAAATTTCTTTGTGTATTCCTCCCTTAACAATGCACCAGTGTTGTTTGTAGTTTGGGGCAGATTTTTCCAGGGCTTCAATAATAATAGCTACAAAATATTGCATATAGGTATACCATAATCTCTTCAAATATTTTGCCATTAGTACACATTGTTCCAATCCATTCCTCAAATAAGCCAATTACCTTTAATGCCAATCAGTAACTCCTAGCAGCAGTAGAAGGATGTCCTTTCTGATCAACAAACACTTTTTAAACTCCTATTCATGCCAGTGGCAATAAACAATGATAATAACCTCAAAAAAGAGCATGAGCTGGTTATTAGGGTAAGTGAAGAAAATGTAACTACTTATTAGGATATGTGAAGAAAATGTAACTACTACAAGCTGACGTAAAGATTAGGAAGAAAATCAGATTTGAGGGTCCCAGAAAACAGGAGACCTATAGATCTTCAGAAAAGGAGTAAGAAAGAGCTTTCCCAGTCTAATCTACACTTGGAGAGGGACAGAGGGGAGAGTAACTGGAGAGTTTCAGGAAAAGGCAGCTTAAGCCAGAGTTGAAGGAAAATTGACATCACTCCCTAGGAGGAAGCTGCACCTGCAAATAAGCTGCAAAAAAGCTGCACCTGGGAGGTATCAGAAAGCTCAGGGCTATCCGGAACCACCAGGAAGCCAGGGGTGGCTGAATGACAGACAAGTAAACATAGTAGGAGATAAGAAAGATGTCATAAGATAAAATACTTTCTTGGACACCTCAAAGCTTTCAAACGTTATCTAGAACCCATGGGGAATGAATGAGTTTCAAATAAAGGAAGACAAATGGTAGCTCTCTCTGTAGTAACAAAAGCTCCATCACCCTGGCATCAGTGTGAAGAGTAGATTGCCTTGAGACAGGCCTGGATGCAGGCAAATGGATCTCTGCAGCATGTCCAGTCTGTAAGTTTGTATCAGAAGGAGCAAACTATTGCATCACCACCACTAGTGGGCTTTTGGATGTGCTGGGTTTGCGTGTATCAACACGTACATGGAAGAGACAGATCAGCTCTTGGGAATGGATATCTAGAGTTTAAGGGAATTTTATCACATGCAGATAAAGAGATATATATACAGGCTCCCAATCCAACCCGAGCAGTGTGGGCCAGATCATTCTTATGAGGGATATCCTATACTAGTCAGGAGCTGCCTGGTACTCTACTTCAAAGATGCTGGAAGTTCCTTCTCATCATCAAGATACAGGAATCAAAAAATATCTCCAGCCACTACCAAACATCTTCTATCAGGCAAAATCACACCCACTGAGAATCACCAAAGGTATAAAAATAGACACACACATGGTTGCAGACATGTGCAAAACATAAGATTACTAACATAAAAACAAAAATAAAGGCATTATTTGTTGTGACTGTGAAAAACAGAACCTGTAAAACTAAATATCAGGCAGGTAAGATGGCTCCATGCGTAAAAAATATCACACACTGTTCAAGACTGGCAAGTTAGCTCACATCCCTATAACTCTGGAAAGTTGACCTCCACATATGTACTATGGCATAGGCATACCAATACATACACACACATGTACCACATCATCACACACATCAAATACACACACACACACTCCTGCACTCGAACACATTTGCAAACACACACATCATACATAAACATTTTTTAATAAAACTTAATCAGCAGCAGTTTCATCCAGTATAGTAGCTATTCAATAAATGTTTATCAAGTGAATAATTAAATCAAAGTTAAGACTATGAGCACAAATAAGATTTTCTTGAAAGGAGGCTAGACAGATGGCTCCCCAATTAAGAGCACTTGCAGCTCTTGCAGAAGACCTGGGTTTGGTTACCAGAACCCACATGACAGCTCACAAACACCTGTAACCCACAGAGCATCTGTTGTCCTCTTCTGGCATCTTGTGGGCCCCAAGCATTCACATAGTACATTTACATACTTGTAGGCAAATACTCAGCAACATAAAGTAAATAAATCTATAGGAAATAGATGTTTTCCAATGGAGATAAGAGACAAGGAAGTGAACACCTTGGAGCAAGGAGGGAATGAAGTGTAAAAAGGACGGCTGCGAATGTGCAGCCAGGAGGGTGCGGGAGACAACATCATCAATCAAGCATAGCCAGTGGCCGACAGCACTAGTTCTATAGAGGATTGCTCACACTAACTGGAATGTCTGTAGGGACTCTGTTTACAAGATGGCTGCAGCATCTCACAGCTGTTTTGCAAAAGTGAGATGGTAAAATTTTCCGGGCCAGCCATTAGAAAACTTCAGCTTTGCCTTTGCGTTTTTGCATTTCAGCCAAGGTCATGAGCCACAGGACCATGTAGCTGAGTCCAGTCACTCACAGAGTTACGAGAGATGATTGTTGCCACTTTAGACTCACAAACATTGATGTGGTTTACAATGCATCAATAGGCATATAGTGATGCTGTTAGAAAATTTTCACTGGGTAGACAAAAAGCAAATGAATGTGTGCCTGAGAAATGGGTAGTTGGTGGGAAAGGGAATACAAACAAGCTAAACACAGGCTATTCTTTTCAGAAACTTTACTGTAAAAGAAAAAGGACGTTGTATTAGTTGGAAAGAATTTAAAGTTGAGGAAGGACTTTTCAAGCTACAGAGGGTTGGCAAGAAAGGAAAAGCGAAAATGCTGAGGATTTCAGGGCATTGAAAGATAATGAGACAGGTAGGAGGTGCACACCTACAGCCCAGCACTCTAGGAAACAAGGGAAGAAAACTGCCAAGGTTGAGCCCAGCCTGGACTACACAGATGTGAAAGAGAGGGAGGAGGAACAAAGGAAAGGAGGGCAGCAGAGAGAATGGAAGGAGGGAGGTTAGCTGGACATCGCTGTCCCTGTACACTTGACATTCATTTCTCTTAACCTGAAGGACTGGCTAGAGACAACAACGTGAGGAAAAGAGTCCAGACTGCGGCTAATAAACAAATAAACAGTCTGCCAATTTCCTTGCTCTTTATCCAAAAAGGTCTTGACATAAAGTACACATTTCATAAACATCAAAGAGAGGACCGTGTAAGTGTATTTTCAAATATCACTAAAACCAGGACGATGCCATTTCTTCAACTACTTTCTACCTTCCTGGCAAGGGAAATAAAAGACTTTCCTCAGAGTGATCTCTTGGACTGTGTAGTAAATGTTTTTAACAGCTTGAGAGCTTGGGGGTCAACCAGCAATGAAACAAACAGCAGATGTGCAGTAGCCAAACAAAAAATAAAAGGGACAGAGGCAGAGGAGTCAAGATTAAGAACAAATGAAGGCTTTCAAAGAAGGCGAAATCCTAAGTAAGATTCCACATAGCAACACATTACTCCATGACCTGATTTTACTAAATTCCAGAGGGGGAAAGGAATTCAGAGAAAAGATTGGTCTCTAAAACAGAACTCTAATTATTCTATTTTTACCTAACTATCAGAGAAGGGAAAACTTCCAAAGCAGTTTTGTGTGTACAAAGAAAGTGGTCAGCATGTTTTTAAAGTAAAAGTTTTAAAGGCTATTTTTAAGTATATTCATTTTCTAAAAACAAGAAATATGAAGTCAACCCTGGCATCATCAAGACTAAAGTTTGCCAGTCTCTATTTTCACTGACTTCCACTAGGTACATCCTGGTAAAATGAGAGGATTTTTTTTTATCCTTTTTTTCTATTACCATGATATAGTCAATAACATTAGACTTAGCAAACAGGTAAGTACATTGTCAGGTTATAAAGTTGTTATGCCCCTTTCCGGCTACTCAGGGACTGCAGCAACAAGGTGATTAGCTTTCTGGGCTTGTTTGCTGCTGGACACTTGGAGAGTGAAAGTCAAATGTAATTAAGAAAGCAAGAAGCACAGTGGGAGATGGTTGGTACACTTGCATAGTCCCAGCATGTGGAAGGCAGAGGAGGAAGGATCATGACTTTGAGGCCATCCTGACCTTCATGTCAAGTTCAAGACCAGATGACTTCTGGAGTATTTTGAATGAGAATAGCCCCCATAGGTTCATATGTTTAAATGTTTGGTCCCCAGTTGGTGGAACTGTTTGGGAAGAGTTAAGAGGTGTGTCCTCGTTAAAGGAGATGTGCCACCACAAAAAGACTTTGCACTTCCAAAATATCATTCTCACTTAGCTCTCCTGTGAAACATGAGATACAGTGAAATCATGCTTGTGAACATGACCTCTCCGCTACCTTCTGCCATGCTCCCTACCATGATGGCATGGACTCACCCTCTGAAACTGTGAGCCCCCAATAAACTCTTTCTTGTATAAGTTGGTTTAGTCATGAAGTCTTCTCACAGCAATAGAAAAGCAATGAAGGCAACTGCAGTGAGACCCCCATCTCCAAAAAAAAAAAAAAAAAAGGGGGGGGGGGCAAGAAGTAGCCATGTGTGGTACTTAATCTTGATTGTCAGTTTTATGAGACTCGTTATCTTCATGGAAACATACTTCTGACCACAACTGTGTGGGGTTTTTCAGACTAGGTTCTCTGAGATGGGAAGACCCTCTAATTGTAGGCATCACTATCCCACAGGCTGGGGTCCTCGAAGGAATAAAACATAGAAAGGCAGATATGCCTCAATAGTCAGTTCTCTCTGCTCTCTGAATACAAAGCGGCCAGCTGCCTGATGCTTTTGCCACCACACCATGCCTTTCCTGCCACAATGGAGGGTACCCCAAAACAGTGAGCCAAAATAAGCCCTTCCTTCCTTAAATTTCCTCTGTCAGGTGTTTTGTCACAGAAGAGTAACAGCTGTACCATGTAATGAACTTTGTTTCTCACTCTGCTGAGAATAAGCCTCCAGAGACTCGCACATGCTATGACTTCACCACTGAGCAAAGGAGATGGATTTTTTTTTAAGCATTCCATTACAGTTGTTTTACACTGAATAAGCAAGCACCAAACTAAGGGGTTTGGAGGGTAGACAGAAACACAGTTAATAGCCAGGAAATCAAAATGGTGTTAAACACTTATGCTGAGGTTTGCTGCTGCTGTCTTGGGATGGGAGGGTGAGTGACACACCGGCTTACACTAAATGAGTGCTACTTCTCAGGCAAGCAGCTCCCTGCACACACAAAAGCTGCTGTAAGGGTCATGGGTTCTAGTCCCAGCTCCTCCATCAGTTGCAACCCCTCAAGCCTGTCATTTAACCTCTCTGGCCTGAAATTCCCTCAATAACAAGATCCCAGCATTGGATGACGTCACAGTGAAGATACCTTCCTCCTCTGTGACAAACTACAGTCCTGAAACCCAGATCCCAGAGAAGTTCCCAATGCTGTGTGCTTTCACAAAGCCCTGTGACTTTTTCCCAAGACCGATCTGCCCATTTTAAGTCCTGATTATTTTACCTTGAACCAGGCAAAGTAGTTCATGTCTGCATTTGCACATATAAACTGGGGATGAACTGCATGCTCTCAGTCTTCTATTTCACCTTTGGCAGAGAGACATTACAGAAATGGAGACAAAGGTCCTTATACAATGGGAATCTCCAAATCAACAAGCACTGCCACTTAATGTGTGAGGAAAGTTGTACATGGTCCATTGTCTTGGTCTTCTGGCATGAAGATAGCAGCATCTGCTTTGAAGGGTTTGTTTGGTATCACCATAGCAACAATGTAAAGATGAAGTCTAGGCAGTGGATTAAAATCAAATGAGCAAAGATTTGGTCCAAGCATCAAAATTTAAGTGAAACAAAACTTTCATTGATGATTTTTCAATTATATAAATGTTTAAGCTCTGCCCCTCATTGGCAGACTCACCACAGTGACCACACTGACACCCTGCAGAAGTAGGAGAAGGATGGAACTATGAAGCTGAGGGCACCTTTGTGACTGAGCATGGATGCTCTTTTCTCTCCCAGAGGACACATTTCATAGTTCACCCTGCTTGTACTGCTGCCTAGACTTCATCTTTACCTTGTTGCTATGGTGATACCACACAAACCCTTCCAAGCAGAGGCTGCTGTCTTCATGCCGGAGGATTGAGACAATGGGCCGTCTACAACATTCCTCATACATAAGTGGCAGGCTGCCAGGCAAGTGGTAGAATCACAGAGTTTCAAGGGAGACTAAGACTGGTGAATCCATTCCATAGACTTTCTTTAAATTAGCAGTTAAGTTATTCTATGATGTTCTAGAAGGGTACCCAGGGACTGTGCACAGCTTCTGTAGGGTGCTATGGGCAGAGACTAATACTTGCATTCCTAGTCATACTGCCACCTTGGGATTGTCTCCCGGCTTAACTGCCCTATGTCCAGCTCTGCCATTCCACCCCTGAGTTTCCCAGGAACTAGGAAATCTCCTACCTCGCCCTCTACTCCGAAAAACTCTGGGAGTTGAGTTCTCTGCTTGTGCATACAAGAGACTGGGCTCTGTGCTTTCATTTTATAGAGCGTCTCTCCCAGACACTCCTCTTCCTGGCTGCTGCTCCCAATGGAAAGATGCATCTTTCACTTACATTGTATTTTATACACTATGATCTTTATACAATGAGGAAGTGACTAGGCAAAAGAATGGGTTCAATAAAAATATGATGTAGATAAATAGATGATAGATAGATAGATGATAGATAGATAGATAGATAGATAGATAGATA